AATAGGGCTCATAACGAGCTCTCAGCGTATATACACTGTGTTTATACACTGAGAGATATATACTTCTCTGTGTATTTACCCTGAGAGACATATAACTCTGTGCACAGTAAGAGTCATATACCTCTCTGTGTATATACACTGAAAGACATATAACTCTCTATGTATATACACTAAGAGACATATACCTCTCTGTGTATATACATTTGCAAGTATAGAAGAGGCAGTGCTGGAAGGTGAAGGGTCAGTGGTGGTTCAAGAAACTACATGAATATAAAAAAGAGCACTGCAGCGAGCCTACTGGCCAATGTTAGGCAGGTGCAAGTCACACCCACTCGAGAAGGCTTCTGTTCGTTAGTCACCTTTCCTCCAATACACAAGCAAATGGAAGCTTGTATTGTTTGTGTGGTAGTCTTACAAAAAGAGACCATGTCATCTATGCCTGGAACTTTGAAGGAGGTCGAGAATCACAAGGAACACTATCCAAGACCAACCATTGAAATCATGGTCTCGAACAGCCTAACCAAAGTGGCCAAAACCCCCGTGATGACCACCAAAACCATGATCTCCGGTGATGACCACCAAAACCATGACCTCCGTGACCATGATGACCTCCATGACCAAAACCATCTTGGCCAAAGCCACCCTGGCCAAAACCACCGCCAAAACCTCCGCCAAAACCTCCGCCAAAACCTCCGCCAAAACCTCCGCCATGCTCATGAGAGTGAGGGTAAGACAGGGCGTAGGGGTGAGGTATGGCTGACTCCATCAGTAAGTCAGAGCCACAACTACACTCAATATCAGCGACACCTGTAAGAAAGAAAAAAAAGTGTTACATATTATATATTTCCCCGTCTCAGTAAAAAAAAAAAAAAAAGAAATACAGTAAATACTGAGCTAACCAGTATCTCTAATTAGAGTTTCATCAACTCTTTAGTAAATCTCTATAGAGTATTTTACCTAATAACTCTCAACTGAAGGCAATAAATTACCTATAAATAAGGATTCACTCTTCACATCTTACAATGAAACACGAGCATTTTTTCATATAAATAACGAGTCGTTGAAAGGTTCATCCTTGTTAAGAAATTATACAGTTAGTGTCACTGGAGAAAAAATAATAATAACGACTCACGAATTTCTGAAAGCATAAGTGTAAACAAACCCCAGAGGATGAAGGATCGAACCCTCGGCAGGTGAGTTTTAAGCTAGGGCACGACATAAGCTGGTGTGGAATTTGTCTGAAAAATCTGTATTTGTGGTCACAATGGTGGTCCATGCTAACCTCCCTATGGACGACTCCTAGTAAAGCCAACTGGCCCGGTGGATAGTACATAGGCTGAGTGTTTTATGGTTCTAATTCCATGGGTTGAAACCCAACCCTTTCTGTGTCTTGATTAATAATAATAATAATAATAATAATAATAATAATAATAATAATAATAATAATAATAATAATAATAATAATAATAATAATAATAATAATAATAATAATAATAATAATAATATACTGCAAGAAAATTAAAGGGGAATTTTTTGTGGATATCTTCATACGCCTTTTTCTGAATTTCTTAAATAACATGACTGCACTTCACCAGCATATCACTCAGGTTGGATAAAATACTCTCATGTGAATCTTGAAACTATTAGCCACAGCCAGATTTTTTGTAATTACTTGAACCACAGAAGTGGTTCTCACACAACCACAGCTCTACCACAAGACTTTCTGGTATCTAAGTATGTAAGAACAAGAAGCCCCGCAAGAGCTTTCCTGGCGTATGATAGGCAGGTCCTGCGTATTGTCGACAAAGTTGAAAAAATAAACTACGCAAGTTCCAAAACACTTTAAAAGGGACACCGTTTGCCTCGGTGCGGAGCTTGATTAAGTCACTGGCCACTTCATGATTTAGCGAAGATCTACAGAGAGCGAAACATTGTCCGGGTGGTAGCTTGCTCAATACGCCCGAAATGCTCAGAATATCAAGGAACTCTCGTCATGCAGTGGTCAGTGGTCAGTCGTCACGTGAGGTCACAGACCCTGAGCTGCTTTGGGGATTAGCGTGGACGGTTACAAAGCATGGCTTGCTTCTGCAGCGTTTTAAAAATTGAGGTTGGAGAGTTGAAGGAGGAGGTCTTGCTTCTCCAGGAGGAGATTAGGAGGCTGAAGGTCCACCTCAATGGGTCTGGGAGAGTGTGTGAGGTAGCTGGAGTTGTGAGGAATGAGGCTTCTAGCAGTGAGGTGCAGTCTGTCTCTCGCTGTGAGGAGGCTCTAGGTAGGGAGGTAGCAACGGCTACCAGCAGTGAGGTGCAGTCCAGCACCTGCTACAAGTGGCGCTTCTCTGTTCTTCAGGATGAATGTACATCAGTGGCAGTGGGAAGGAAAGGGTACTACAGCCCCTGCTAACGAAAGGGAAGCGCATTTTTGTGTTGTAACCTCAGGGAAGATATATTGCCGTGCTTTTTGTAATAGGAAAAAGATGGGAGATAGAGTGTGCTTCCCTGGAGCTGGTGTTGGGGACATATTAACAGCTGGAAATATCAGCAGGTAATGGAACAGCCCATTTTTTATCTTCTCAGTGGTGGTGGAAATAATATTTGGGGGTGGTAGAGGGGGTAGATAAGAAGGGAGATAGATTCTTTAAGGGGGGGCCCCAAAAACGTGATTTCCAGAAGGGATGGGAAAAATTTTTGTCTAGGGGTTTGGGAAAACCCCCAAACCCCCCCCCCCCTTGAAATGGGAAAAATTTTAAGGAAAAAAATGTAGAAGGGAGGGTTAAATTTTTTTTTTGGGGGGTTTTGTGGGGGTTTTCAAAGGGGGGGGTGGAAAATTTTTTTTTAGGGAATTGGTGAAATTTTTGGTTTTTTGGGGTTTGATTTTTTGGGAAACAACGTTGCAAACTAAGGGGGGTTTTTAAAAGAAAGTATGGCTGGAATTAAAATAAAAACAAAAGAAAGGCAGAAAAGGGGGAAAAAGGGAAAAAGGGAATTTTGGACAAAATAAAAGGGTTTTTAAAAAAAAAAATAAATGAGCTAAGATTAATTGCAAGTGCAGGAAACATAGATATTATTGCTACAACAGAGACCTGGCTCAATCTGATAGATAGAGAGATGCCCTCTGAATGTCACATACAAGGCTATAAATTATTCCACACTGACAGGGTCAACAGGAAGGGTGGTGGAGCAGCGATGTATGTCAGAAACAACTTAAATTGTTGTGTTAGACAAGATATAAAATTAGAAGAGTCAGCCACTGAATCTGTTTGGTTACAGCTTCTCGAGGGCCGAGAAAAACTAATTTTGGGTGTGATTTACAGGGCTCCAAATCTTGATAGGGAGTGCAGTAAACTTCTATGGGACGAAATTCGTAAGGCATCTACACACGAAAATGTTGTGCTAATGGGAGATTTCAACTATAGACAGATTAACTGGAGCAATTTGACAGGAAATTTAGAGTCAGGTGACTTTCTTGATACGATCCAGGATTGTTTTTTAAAACAGTTTGTGACAGAGCCAACTAGGGGAAATAACCTCCTTGACTTGGTTCTTGCCAGTAGGGAAATACTAATTAATAATCTTGAGGTTAATGATGAGCTTGGGGAAAGTGATCACAAATCACTCAGTTTTAATATATCATGGAATTCCCTTAATAATGGCAATCAAGTCTCTGTCCCTGACTTTCGCTTGGCTGATTTCATAGGACTGAAAAATTACTTAGGTGGGCTGAACTGGAATGACCTGACTAAGGGTCAGGTAGGTGTGATGGTTGCCGATATGACGCTTTCCAGGGCATAGTTCTAGCTGCTCAGTCAAATTATGTTCCAAATAGGGAAATCAGATCAAACAAAAATGATCCTAAATGGATGAACAATAGATTAAAAATATCTGATGGTCAAAAGAGAGGCATATATAGGCAAATCAATAGAGGAGAGGGGCAATTAAGAAATCGATATATTCAGTTAAAGAGAGAAATAAAAAAGGAATTAGAAAAGCAAAAAGAGATTATGAGGTTAAAGTTGCAAGAGAATCGAAGACTAACCCAAAAGGATTCTTTCAGGTATACGAAGTAAGATCAGGGACAAGATAGGCCCACTCAAAAGTTCCTCGGGTCAGCTCACTGACAGTGATAAGGAAATGTGTAGAATTTTTAACACATATTTCCTCTCAGTTTTTACACAGGAGGATACCAGCGATATTCCAGAATGATAAATTATGTAGAACAGGACGATAATAAACTGTGCACGATTAGGTCACAAGTGACATGGTCCTTAGGCAAATAGATAAATTAAAACCTAACAAATCCCCAGGCCCTGATGAACTGTATGCAAGGGTTCTAAAGGAATATAAAGAGGAGCTTAGCAAACCTTTGGCTAATCTTTTCAACATATCACTACAAACTGGCATGGTGCCAGTAAGTGGAAAATGGCAAATGTGATACCTATTTTCAAAGCAGGTGACAGGTCCTTAGCTTCGAACTATAGACCAATAAGCCTAACCTCCATAGTGGGAAAATTTATGGAATCAATAATTGCCGAGGCAGTTCGTAGCCACCTTGAAAAGTATAAATTAATCAACGAATTTCAGCATGGGTTTACAAAGGGGCGATCCTGCCTTACGAATTTATTAACTTTTTTCACTAAGGTATTTGAGGAGGTAGATCATGGTAATGAATATGATATTGTGTATATGGACTTCAGTAAGGCTTTTGACAGGGTCCCACATCAGAGACTATTGAGGAAAATTAAGGCACATGGAATAGGAGAAGAAATTTTTGCCTTGATAGAGGCATGGTTGACAAATAGGCAGCAGAGAGTCTGCATAAATGGGGAGAAATCAGAGTGGGGAAGCGTCACGAGCGGTGTTCCACAGGGGTCAGTGTTGGGCCCCCTGCTGTTCACAATCTACATAAACGACATAGATGAGGGCATAAAGAGTGACATCAGCAAGTTTGCCGATGACACCAAAATAGGCCGTCGAATTCATTCTGACGAGGACATTAGAGCACTCCAGGAAGATTTGAATAGACTGATGCAGTGGTCGGAGAAGTGGCAGATGCAGTTTAATATAGACAAATGCAAAGTTCTAAATGTTGGACAGGACAATAACCATGCCACATATAAACTAAATAATGTAGATCTTAATATTACGGATTGCGAAAAATATTTAGGAGTTCTGGTTAGCAGTAATCTGAAACCAAGACAACAGTGCATAAGTGTTCGCAATAAAGCTAATAGAATCCTTGGCTTCATATCAAGAAGCATAAATAATAGGAGTCCTCAGGTTGTTCTTCAACTCTATACATCCTTGGTTAGGCCTCATTTAGATTATGCTGCACAGTTTTGGTCACCGTATTACAGAATGGATATAAATGCTGTGGAAAATGTAAAAAAGGAGGATGACAAAGTTGATCCCATGTATCAGAAACCTTCCCTATGAGGATAGGCTAAGGGCCCTGAATCTGCACTCTCTAGAGAGACGTAGAATTAGGGGGGATATGATTGAGGTGTATAAATGGAAGACAGGAATAAATAAATGGGATGTAAATAGTGTGCTGAAAATATCTAGCCTAGACAGGACTCGCAGCAATGGTTTTAAGTTGGAAAAATTCAGATTCAGGAAGGATATAGGAAAGTACTGGTTGTGGATGAGTGGAACAAACTCCCAAATACAGTTATAGAGGCCAGAACGTTGTGAAGCTTTAAAAATAGGTTGGATAAATACATGAGTGGATGTGGGTGGGTGTGAGTTGGACCTGATAGCTTGTGCTACCAGGTCGGTTGCCGTGTTCCTCCCTTAAGTCAATGTGACCTGACCTGACTAGGTTGGGTGCATTGGCTTAAGCCGGTAGGAGACTTGGACCTGCCTCGCATGGGCCAGTAGGCCTGCTGCAGTGTTCCTTCGTTCTTATGTTCTTATGTTCTTATGCACACCTAAATGTTATCCATCTCTTTACAAACACTGTATCATGCTGAAATAAAGGATCTTAAATCTTTAATATTGTGTGCCTTTTCTTCTTTATCCTCATCCATGTTTCTGGCCGGATACCATTGACTGTGTATCAGTATTCTCTGACCAACGTGAAGGAAACTTACGAGCAAAGACGATGGGGAACCTTATCATTAGATCTTCATTATAGATCTCTGCTGGCCACTGTGGAATACAAGAGGACATGAAGAACGAAATTGACTTGAGGTTAATTCCTTAGTATCATATTTTTTTTTACTTCACACTTACGGTTTTCATGGCAATTGGGGAAATAAACTAGGAAACTGCTTCCTGATGACTGTCTTCAGCACTATGAGGTGCGGTTATGTCAGATGCTCGGCCTCGCTTCTTTTAGTGACTTGTTCGATAGCTTGGCTCCTCCTATATATATGCGCTCTCTCTCTCTCTCTCTCTCTCTCTCTCTCTCTCTCTCTCTTCTCTCTCTCTCTCTCTCTCTCTCTCTCTCCTCTCCCTCCCTCTAATGCAGAAGAATCTGGTAAAGTGATGCATACCAAGCCAACCAGTGTAGCAATCTCATAGTGTTCGTATTCATACAGTTTACACCTCTCATTCCTCTGAATATCAATATTAGCTCCTTCAGGGACATTCAGAATAGAAATTTCATATGGGAAAAAAGGTGGAGGGATAAACAAGGGATGAGTAACAAGGCATAAATGAAGGGATAGAATAAAGAGAGTAAACAGGGGAAAGGAGATTAAACACAGAGACAGAGTAAAAGGAATTACTATGGGGAAAACAGTAGACATCAGCTATCAGTTAAAGGGATTAAGCAAAGGACAATGAAAAACAGGAAGGCGCTAGCTTGATTGTTAACGCACTCAGCTCACACATTGTGGTTGGGGGGAGGGGTCGATCCCCGGTATGGGTAAAAACATTAGGACGTGTTTCCTTAAGACACCTGCTGTCTCTGTTCACCTATCAGAAAATAGGTACCTGGGTGTGAGTCGCATCCTGGGACAAAACTGACCTAATTTGCATAACAATGGGCTTTCTATGTAGTAGTATGTCATTGATATCAGCTAGGCCTGTATACCTTGTACATGTACTTATAGAGATAAAGATTATTATTTACCAATTGAAGAGAGAGAGAGAGAGAGAGAGAAGAGAGAGAGAGAGAGAGAGAGAGAGAGGAGAGAGAGAGAGAGAGAGAGAGAGAATGAGAGAGAGAGAGAGAGAGAGAGTGAGAGATGAGAGAGAGAGAGAGAGAGAGAGAGAGAGAGAGAGAGAGAGATGAGAGAGAGAGAGAGAGAGAGAGAGAGGAGAGACAGAGGAGAGAACAGAAGAAGACATAAGATGGAAGAAATCGACTGAATAACAACAACTGCCATTATAGCATACACACACGATTCAGAATGATAGCAGCAGTGTAACGTTGCAAGGGAAGGTCGAGGGGGAATGACACCTCTGAGTAGAATTTAAATAATGCATTGTAGGAAGCTTCACAACGAGAGTACAAGATATACATATTTAAGACGCACACATGGGAAGGGCTGTTATTGTTTAGTTTGCTGTTAATAAGTATGTGAAAAAAACACGTATAATAAATATAGTACTGTACTACTACTATTACTTAAGTAAGTTTATTCAGGTATACACAAATACAGTTACAAAGATTATCATACATAACAGCATATGTGTAGAGAACCTGGATAACCCAAAAAAGTCAAAGTGACTTTATTTCCATTGTCTGACTTTTTTGGGTCATCCCAGGTTCTCTAAACATATGCTGCTATGTATGATAATTGTGTATACCTGAATAAACTTACTTAAATAACAGTAGTAGTACAGTACTATAGGTCTATTATTTAAGTCTTATTCTGTATACATGTTTCTTTCACATACTTATTAACAACACAGTAAACAATAACAACCCTTCCCATGTGTGAGTGTTAAATATGTATTAATTTATTGTACTCTCGTTGTAGAGCTTCCTACAGTATATTATTTAAATTCTACTACCACTGCTACTACTACTACTACCACCACCACCACTGCTACTATTATTACCACCATTACTACTACTACTACTACTACTACTACTACTACTACTACCACTGGTGCCACTACTGCTACTGCTGTTAATACTACTACTACTATTATTAATGCTGCTGTTATTACTACTACTGCTGGGTGACTACTGAGACATTAGATAAAATAAAATTCAGAGACAAGTTGCTAAAAAAGATTTAAGGCAAACAGACAGGATTTTGCAGCGCTAACTGAATTCCAAAGAGCGAGGAACAGAATGCAGGGGCTTATAAAAGGCGCAAAGGCAAGGCACTATTGCTCAAAAATCGAAGAGTACAAGAGTACCCTTAGAAAGCTCTGGCAACAACTGAAACAGTTGAGGCATAGCCATAAACCAGTAGATAGATCTAACATAGTACTAAATATCGATAACGAGATATGCCACGAAACAACTAAAGTGGTAGATTGTTTAATTCATACTACACGACTGTCGCATCAACACTAGTAAGTAAACTACCAGCTGCATCAAATACTTTAACACAGACTCTAAGTTTAAAATATACTATACCAATAAAAGGGTAACCCCAAACAGTTGTCAACTAGTAAGCATATATCTTGACTTCGTGCAAAAAGAACTAAGCAGGTTAAACCCAACTAAGAGCACCTGCCCAGATAACACCCCGTCTATGTTCCTAAAAGATGGTGCCTCTGAATTGCCTATCCCCATTGCTCATATAATAAATTTGTTCATAACCACTGCTACCGTACCAGAGGGGTTCAAAGAGGGCAGATTACTCATTTCTTCAAGAAAAACAGTAGATCTGATGTAAACAACTACAGGCCTGCTAGTATACTTAGTGTAATATAAAAATTCTAGAGAGGGAGGTGTACTGTCAAGTAGTTAATTATCTTAATGACAACAACTTTCTCCATAGTTACTAATCAGGCTTTAGGAGCTCTTACTCAACCGACACCTCCCTAACTTATCTGATGGATAGGAATGGTAACCTTAGACTTGCAAAAGGCCTTCGATACTGTCAATCACAGTATATTATGTAAGAAACTTCAAGCTACCGGCATAGGTTCCATAGACTGGTTTAAGTCCTATCTAAGCAATAAGAAACAAATTGTCAAAATCAACGAAACACAATCAGAACCCCTGTTAATAGCATGTCGAGTTCCCCAAGGTAGTATTCTGAGTCCTTTATTATTTCTGTTATGTTAACGACATGCCTATCAGTGTCAAGTGCAAACTCCTACTGTATGCGGATGACTATGCTCATTTAGTATCAGGTAAAGACTCACAAGATATAGTTAATGTAATAAAACTAGAACTGAAGTCCTGCAGCAAATGGCTAGTAGACGAAAAACTTTTGTTACACCTCGGGAAAACGGAAGCCATACTCTTTGGCACGAAACAAATTGAGAAGGGTAAATAATTTTAATGTCAGGTACAATGGGGAACCCATCACTTCAGTTTCCTCAGTAAAATATCTGGGAATCCCCTTTGACCTATACTTGTCAGGAGAATTGATAGGGAACAGTGTAGTAAAGAAAGCGAATGCCAGACTGAAGTTCCTCTACAGACAAGCACAGTGTCTACCTACTGAGGCTCGCAGGACCCTATATCTAGCCCTTATACAATGTCATATGGACTACGTTTGTTCTTCATGGTACTCTGCCTTGCCCAAAAAACTGAAAGATAAACTGCAAATCACCCAGAACTAAATGGTAAGATTCATCGTGGACCTGGGTCCAAGAGAACATGTAGGCCAAGATGAATTACAACAATTGGATATGCTGAATGTTGAAGACAGAGTAAAACAACTGAAGCTAAATCAAGTTTATAAAATTGCTCACAAATAGTATCCAGAGTATCCTGCTGCCAATTTTGTCAGGGTTAGGAACCAAAGCAATCATAGAGGGAGAAAGCACAACATTGTAGTACCCACAGTCAGCGGCCAGGTTTCAAACACCTTTTATTGTACAGCAATAAAGGAATGGAACAGACTGCCCGCACATGTCAAAGCCAGTCATAGCATGAACCAGTTCAAGAAGAGTGCCAAAAGGTACCTAAAGTATGTAGCGACTGTTGCAACCCCTGAATGGGTTACAATGATTATGTATATATATATGTAATGTATATTACCTTTTCATTTAATTTTATATTGCTTATATTTGCGATAATAGCTAAATCGTAAATGTATGACTTTATATTATTATTTGACTGTTATATTGTTATTTAGCTTATGTTGTTAGGATGTATATAAAATGTGCTCAGTTAGTCTTGATTGTCAAACTACTGTAATTATCGCTTGTCGCTCGTTATACTGCCGGCTTCTGAGCTGCAGTTGTCCACGTAGCTATCACGTGATCGAGGGGGGGGTGTCCTCACCTCTCGTAAAGTATTCAGTCTGCTGGAGACTCGCTTGCTGGTTGGACAGATTGTCTGTCTCATTATTCTTGTTAGTTCTGTAGAACTTTGTTCACAGAACATTGTATAGACTTTGTGATTTTCGACGTTGTACTGAGGTTGTGTCACATAGACACTCTGAACATCTCAGGTCCTTAGCTATAGCTTCTGACCTAATTTTGTACTGGTTCCTGTGTATTGTCACAGTCACAGTTTTTCCTATGCTGAACGTAGATTCAGTTTTATGGGAGTTTTGTAACTTGTGGAGGATCTGCAGATGGTCCCTACTTAGTGTCGTTATATTGTCTCCTTGTTCCTGATTCTGTGTCGCAGTCGCTTGATATTGCATTGCTATTGGGCTTAGGATTCTTTGCTGTTCAAGCAGACTGTTCGGGTTGCCAGTCGGTCAAGAAGTTAGTTTATTTGAGGACTTTGTCAGTCACTTGTTTAAGTCTTATTAGAGTCTTGAGACACAGCTAACTACTTAAGAGCACTTATACGCATACACACACTTGTACATATTTGTAATATCTTATTAAATGTTAATGTACCTGACGGTACTTAAGAATTATAAATGTGATATGTGCTTCAGCACAATAATATTGAACTCGAGAGATTGATTTTATTTTGATTGCTGTAATTAATTTAATTTGATAATATACCTCTAGACAACTTATAGACTTAATAAATTTATTAAATTTTAATTTCTCTAGTTAGTAGCCTACCAGTTGTAATCCTAAAGCACTATTGAACCATACTGAATTTTAATGGATAATTGGACAAGGATACTGACTACTTGTTACGAAAACCCAGTAACAGGCTGGATGCTAGAAGGGCAGTCCTTTCTAGTATTCACTGGAGATCTCTAAGCTTTTAGAATCGCGTTTTTTGTAACAGCGACAGAAAGGGAGGAGAATGTTTTTATTTTTTTAGCTAACACACATGTAAATATAAATAATTCGTTTTATCTTATTCCTAGTATGTCTCCTTT